GCAGCTGTATTGTAGTGGGTGTGGTTGAGGATCAATAGTTAATAGTAATGAGGAGGTTGGGTTGTGATCCCATCGTTTTTGTGGTGCCAGAAACAGGGGGGTGCCAGGAAGTGGGTATGTTGACTTAATTATTTCGAAGACATTGTCTGCTGACTGAAGCTATTGGAGGAGATGGAGAAGGATAGTGGGATGCCGAGGAACGCGGCCCCTTCTAGATCAGCCCAGGCCTCCGACATCAAGATCGGGACCCATCCCTTAGCGTGCCTCCACCAGTTCGTCCGTCCGCCTCGAGTCTTACGGAGGGTTTTGTTGTCTCGTCATTCCTCTGCAGACGGAAAAGAGACAATCCCTTGCAGTTGATGCTCGGCAATGACATCTTGTTGGCTCACAAAGATGAGGAGCGTTGTGCAACTCGAATTAGCCGGAGCTTCGGATGGAACTCCTAGTTCGCGGAAAGAGCCATGCCCAGCAAGCCACCCTACGCTTACCCACCGCCTCTGGTAGAGTGATGCTCGTTTTCAGACATTTTGAGAACTTCTCAGCATCGAATCTCCAAAACGTTGATATTGTGGGTATCGTGGGCTTGAAGACAGCATCTCAATTTACTATAAGAGGTGTCAACGTCTCCCTTCTTATCATAACGTCTTCTCTCCTCATCAGCCTACAAAGCATCTCAACACTCAACACTCAGACACAACCATCTGAACAGTTCTCCTCACCAATACCATCTTCATAACACATCAACCTCACACCAACCTCCAACATGCAGTCCAAGATCTTCACCGCCGCGCTCGCCGCCTTCTCCTTCGCTTCAGTTCAGGGAGCCGTTCTTCCTCGTGCTACCATCACTCCTGGAACCATTGTTACTCCTGGCATCTCTTTCAACCCTGCCGAGCTTGGAGCCAACGAGTTGGCCTTCCGCACTCTTCAGGTCCTTACTGGCCAGATTGCCCAGACCACCGCTCTCGCCAACAGCCTTGCCCTTCAGGCTACCGGCACTGCGACAGCTGTAAGGCTATCACTATTCAAAGTTGATAGAACATACATGAAACTAATCCCGACATCTAGGCCGCTGATCAGGTCCAAGCCGTTGTTGCTCAGCTGAGCTCCAACGCCGCTGCCATCGCTGCCAACGTCGCCAGCATTGTCGCCGCTGCTCCCACCGCGATCCCTCCTGTTCCCAGCCCTACTGCCCCTGCTACTCCCGATGTTGGTGGTCAGGCTGAAGCTGTAAGATCAAACATCCGCTTCTACATTGTTCATCACTAACACGTCTATCATAGCTCGTCCGCCAAGCTCAGGCACTCGCCAGAGCCCTGACTGCTCAGATCGCCGCTCTCCAGGCTCAAGTCACCGCCAACGCTGGAACTGTCGCCGGAGTTGCCCAGAACGCGATCCTCATTCCTGCTTTGGTTCAGGCCCAGGCTGCCGCCGCCACTACACTCGCCACCATCGGAACCGCCAGCAACCTTGCTCTCACTACTGCTGCTACCCTGACTGCCAACGCCCAGGCTATTGTCGACCGCGTCCGCAACGCCCAGGTCAAGCTCAACCCCGTCCTCGTCATCGGCGCTACTCCCGATGTCCAGTTCTAAAGGGCCCAATGACTCTCTACAATACTCCATTGGCCGGTCTTTTGATGATAACTCATCTTAATCGGTCAACAGCTTGAGCAAGACTCGCAGAACTTTCAACAATCGCAGCCGAGTATGGAACTTGGAGAATGATAATATGACAAGGAGGAATTGAACTTACCATTATTATGGGATAATAACGAACGCAAAGTCTTTAAACAAGACCTACTACGCTCCTTGATGGATGGCTTCTGAATAATTAGTAATATTTTATCCAGCGATAGGACTATCTTTAATATGCAATAATCAAGATGGTTCTCAAAATCCTCCTTATTTACAATGCTATAGTGATAACTGGGTTGTCTTGGTCAAGACTTAAATTATTCCTTTAACTCTGACTTTTTTTGTGGACCAATCTTGAGTTGAGTTTATCAGTCCTTATAGCAAGAAAGACGCAGTCAGCCACTGACGTCGCTAAAGTACTAGGCATGCCATGCGTTTTGCACCTCCGGCAAGACCTATTCATTCACACCAAAAGAATCACCTTAGCAAATCTGGCAGTTGTCAAGACGTCCCCTTATTTTATGGAACGGTGTCGTGAATAAGGTGATATGCTTGAAAGCGTAAAGATGGCGTGTTTCGTGTAAACAAATTGCTTGCCGGCGTAAGGCCCGAAATGGTCGCAAGTGGACCCCCCGAAGCACCGGAAATTCAGGGGCGGAGCGGGGCAAGCTCCGTTTTAACCGCTTTTGTCCGGATGGCACAATGAGCTGGTTCGTTTGGCCTGTTTCTGTCCTGCTCAAGGGTGGAAAGCTTTCTGTCGCCTTCAGGTGAAGACCACTAGGCCACAGGATGGCCCATGTTCAGCTCTTTTGCACCCGCGCGCCAGCATCATCCCTGATACGACCGGTGGGATCCCCAGAACACATCGGGAGATCCTCTCCTGGCCCTACAGTTCTGAACCCCTTTCATCTTTGGGCTGAAGGAAGCGACATCTTTCAGCCAATACGCTGATTCTCCGTTGCAGGGGATGGAGCCCCCCGGATCGTCGGCTACTATGGTTCAAGCCTCCAGCATTAGGTAGATTGGGGCGGGATGGAAGCGACTAAGAGCGTAAGGAAAGGGTCAAGAGGACGAACATTGAAAAACGACTCGATTCCCGCCATGATGCACAGTGGCCTATCTTTGGTCTCTCTTTCATCGTCTTTTGCCATCCACTTCCATTCTTTTCTTGTTACCTTGACGTAACAGTTTACGTTCTTTCTACCAGTCTCTCTCTATAAGTCTCTCTTTTCCAATATCCTTGCCAACATGCGTTTCTCAACCATCACAGCAGCCGGCCTGCTCGCCTCCGGTGTCAGCGCCAACCTGCACGAGCTCGCCGTTGCGGCCGGCAAGAAGTACTTTGGCACGGCCACGGATAACTCTGAGCTCACCGACACGGCCTACGTCGAGATCCTGAAGGATGCAAAGATGTTCGGCCAGATCACTCCTGGTAACGGCCAGAAGTGGCAGTTCACCGAGAAGAGCCAGGGAGTCTTCAGCTACACCTCTGGCGACGAGATCGCCGACTTCGCCAAGACCAACAGCAAGCTTCTCCGCTGCCACACCCTCGTCTGGCACTCTCAGCTCCCTACCTGGGTGTCTTCCGGCACCTGGACCAAGGAGCAGCTGACCTCTATCATCGACACTCACATCTCCAACGTCGCTGGCCACTACAAGGGCCAGTGCTATGCATGGGACGTTGTTAACGAAGCCCTTAACGAGGACGGTACCTACCGCGACAGTGTCTTTTACAAGGTTCTCGGAACAGACTTCATTCCCATCGCCTTCAAGGCCGCCGCTGCTGCCGATGCGGATGCCAAGCTTTACTATAACGACTACAACATCGAGCTGGCCGGTAACAAGCAGAAGGAGGTCCTCAACATCATCAAGAACATTAAGGACTCTGGTGCCCGCATTGACGGTCTCGGCCTCCAGGCCCATCTCATTGTCGGTAGCGCCGGTTCCCGCTCTGCCCTGAGCGCCGTCCTCCAGTCCTACGTCGACGCTGGTGTTACCGAGGTCGCCTATACCGAGCTTGACATCCGCCACAAGGCCATCCCCGCCGACACTGCTGCCCAGGAACAGCAAGCCACTGACTATGTCAGCGTTGTCGGCGCCTGTTTGGACATCGCCGAGTGTGTTGGCGTCACCATCTGGGACTACACCGACAAGTACTCTTGGATTCCCTCAGTCTTCCCCGGCACCGGCGAGGCCCTCCCCTGGGACAAGGACCTTAAGCCTAAGCCCGCCTACACCAGCATCTCCAGCCTTCTCGCCGCCGCCGGCAAAGGCGGTGCTGCTCCTGCCACCTCTGCTCCCGCAGTTGCCACCAGCGCCGCTGCTGCCGTCACCACTTCCGCTGCCGCCGCTGCCCCTACCTCAGAGTCTGCTGCCGCCGAGCCCTCCGTCCCTGCTGCTGAGCCTTCCGTCCCCGAGAGCTCTGCCCCTGCTGCGCCTGTCACCACCCCCAAGGCTAGCATTCCTGCTGCGACTCCCGCGCCCGCCACTACACTTAGCACTGTCGTGAAGAGCAAGTGCGGTGGTGGTGCTACTGCTGAGGCAGCTTCCAGCGCTCCTGCGGCTGCTGCCACTGGCGGTGCCGCTCGCTGGGCTCAGTGCGGCGGTAACGGGTTCACCGGCTCTACTACCTGCCAGTCGGGCCTCACCTGCCAGAAGCAGAATGACTACTACAGTCAGTGCGTCTAGACGAGGGTCTTCATGCAGCTATGAAGGAAGAAGGATGAGATATGAAGGGTATCCCTCATGATAGCATCCCATTGAGACGGTAGAGGATTCGTGTACATATCTTTGAAGCCACCAGGTACATATAATTTGCATGCCTTCGTCCAAAGATTACTGCTCCGTGATGTGCGATCTTGTCTTATCGGGGAGGCTATAGTCCACGCCCAGAATAGGCAGGCTCTCGCTCTAGTGTACTTTATTCAAGGTAAGCGGGGACTGAAAAAGAGAAGACTCCATACCGACCAAGTTGGAAATGTTCTGTGTTACGGAGATCGTTGGCCAAGAAAAGGACACAGAAGTCCTTATCGGATGACTCACTCCAAGAGTCTGATAGTTTGTGTAGAACTCCCGCCGAATGCGTCATCTTCAAAAAGAGGACTGAATTCAATAATATATCAAGTGAAGTCCATGTCAAAAAGTCCATGCACAAAATTATCTTTCACCTTCCTCGGTCACTTTGAAGCATTCTTGATTCTTTCGTCCACTCCGCCCGGCATTCCCTGTTGCTTGATTGCTACGTACGTAGCATACTTCAAATCTTAGCACAAGCGGCACGGCCACTTTCGCTACCAGACATTTAGAAACTTCGACCATCTATTGGAACACATAATATGTCAGATTCCCTGACAAATTCTAGCTATGGCCTCAAATATCCACCTCCCAGAACCCAAGGTCGAAGCGGCGCAACCTGAAGCAGCAATGTGTCACGTCGACGCGGCAAAACTCAAGGAAGAACAAACTCACTCGACAGGCCCGCCAGTCCGGACTTTTCCTTTCGGACAGCTCTCTTATGACCTTCAATACGAAGTGCTCCGCTTCTGCGACTACCCTACTGCAACTCTTCTAACATCCACAAACCGACATTTCTACGAGGCACTTCATCCAAAGATAGAATATGCGATTCCCGCATCCGAACGACTGGAAGTAATTCAAAGAGTTGACCGAGATCATCGAAACGAGTTTTGGGCTTGTTATAAATGCCTGAAAGTCTTTCCGAGGTCCAAATTCGGGGATAGCCTCACGGCTGCGAAGAAAAGCAGACAGCAGCGGGCACACACGCAAACGTTCCGGAAATCGCGCCGCTGTTGGACCTGCGCCATCGAGAACAACTACTATGCCGACCTAGAGCCTGTCAAAAAGGATAGAGTCTCGTATTTCCCTTGTCATGGCTGTGGATTTCTTGGTACAGAGTTCAATAGGTGTCGGGGCAATCGCGCATCAGGCATTATCGTCAACAGACAGTGCCACAAAGACAAGGAATTCTCGCCTTTGGAACTTCTTTCTGGGGAGATTCTCCGGCTAATTATCGGCCAATTGGATTATCTCGACGCCATCCACGTACGCATCGCCAGCTGCTCGATGATGCATCAAGTCAAGCTTGACTGGGTAGCCATTCACAGACGCTTTACCTTTGTCTTCGCGAGAGAAGCGCCTCTGGTTGAGCTGGTATACAGAGAAATATTCGAAAGTGTAGATGAAAGTCTCGGCCCGGAGTCGAGAGAGATGCTAGGGAAGACATACACGTACCCATGTTACAGCTGTTTCAAGGTCAAACCTGCTGCCAAGTTCCTTGACAAGACTCTACAGTTCATAGGGGAAGAGCCAGATCGTTTCTGGCGGCGCCGGTGTCGCCATTGTTGCACGATTGCGGCTGGTGAGCCCGAGATTTTGGATGAGTGGTACAGGCGTCATCTCTGCTCCGACTGCGGGTTGATGAAAGCCAAGGGGGAAGCTTGCCTCGGTTGCTTGAAGACCTCCGGTGCTCGCGAAAGCATGCACGCAATCACCAAGATGAGTCGGAGTTCGAATGACAAACGGTAGATAATGGTTATATCAGAGACTAAAAAGTTCGATTGTCAGAGAGAACGAAGCTCTCGAGTAATTCACGTGACTCAATCCGTATCTACTTTATTTAACACAGTCCCCGAGAAAACACATCTCGTCTGGCCCAGACGTGAGATGATGCAACATTCAATGCCAAATCAACCTCAACCTAATATCGTTCCATCTACTATCGTCCCGCCTATGATTGAGGCAGATTCGGTGAGTGCATTGGGCTCCCGTAACTCTCATGCCGGTGCCCATGTCCGTGTTGGTGACTAGGAGCCGGCGAGTCCCGGCCCTGCTGATGTTGTTGTTGGTCATATGGAGAAGGCGATCCCATCTCGCTCCTCGCCACAGCTGCTGATGCATCCAATTCAGAGTATCGATGAATGTTGCTTGAATGATACTCTGAGCCTGGCGACATGGTTGGGGGCGGTGATGTGCTGTACGGAGGCTTATACCCTGTTGGTGGCGAGGTTGCAGCATACGAACTCGTTGCGCCGGTGTATTGCGGTTCCATCGGTTGGCTCGGAGCTTCCGCCTTTTCGGCCAATTCCTTCTTTAGTTTCTTGTTTTGGTCCCAGAGCCAAAAGGTTGATACCAGACCGGCCAAGAGGCAAACACCGGCGACGACAGCGAGACCAATAGTGGCGCCTTTGAACGCGGACCCATCATCTGTAGTTCCATCGGTGTTGGTCGTGTTCGCTGTGCATACCGCCTCCTGAGTAGCGATTGTAAACGCTTCACTGGTACCGCAGCACGTGGTGTTTGATTGTCCACAGCAATACTTGGCTGTGCCGTCGTTACATGCGGTCATGAAGCTGATGTTGCTCGGGTTCCCGCCGGTCTGAGACACAAGGTTCACTGTCATTCTTTGTTTCTCATGGAATTAAACAATGCCAGTAGTTCGGGACGTACCTGGATATCAGTGCAGACATGGTTGCAAGCCTTGCTCTTCCACGTCTTGTCGGTGCAGAAGCCGCGTTGCGGCTGTTGCTGACGATTGATACAGAGACCGGAAGAGGAGCAGATATCGCGTTGTTCTGGAGGACCATCAAGAGCACAGCAGCTCGAGAAGACTCCAGCCTGGTTGATACCGAGTTTGTTGCACGGAACGTACGTTTCGTTATCCGCGAGGGTGCCGTCCGGTGCGTAACACGACGCTTCTTGTGACAAGACACCGAGAGAGTAAAGTGAGAGGCTCAAGACCACTCCTAGCATTGAAGCTAACATTGTGAAAACGTTAGTGGGCGGAACTTGAGTCGCTCAATATCGAGTCGCAAACGGCATTGGTCGGGTGTTGTGGAATGAGAAGAAAGTCGGAAGAAGCAGAACCGAAACCCCGAGGAGAAGGGAAAAGAAAAGGCTCCCGCAGATTGAGGGGGACTTCTCAGCTCTATGAAGACAGGCCCTACCCGCGTGTAACATAACAGATGGATTTTCTGTGCAACCTTTCCCTCCTCATCTCAAGCCTCCCCGGTGTCTGACTGGCAGAATCCAGGACAAAGGGAGGGGGGCGCAGTCTCACGCGCATACGATATGCCCTGTACTGTGATGTTCAACACCAACATGCAGACAACGCAGCCCCCAAGCTATCTGAAATAGGCAGGCCAACCGAGAATATTCAGCAATCGAACCCCGTCCAGTCTTCGCCAGTCAGACGAACTGTTGGAAGCGGAATGCAGGATCCCGGTCGAATTGGATGCCTGGCCCACTCACCGTGCAGAGCTGACCGGCCAGAGACCACACCAACAGACGAACGAAATGCAAAACTTTTACGATGCAGCGGTCGGCTGTGGCCGAGGAGGGGGTAAGCAGCTTACTATGTGGTGCGGGAGAGGGCGGGATGACACGCTCTTCTTGCATTCTCGGGTCGACCCATCTCCGGGCAACCAACGATGCTCGGTCGGGAAATCGCCCGCTCAAGTTTTGGTACTCGAAGTGCCTTCATGGAGTGAATCAACAGTCGAAATTGTCGACTATCGGCCATGGCTTTGTTCGGCGAGGATGTGCAGTCGCAGATCAAAGCAAACAAAAGGATCCCAATCCCAGTGTCGAATCATGAGGCGATGCGACCGAGATTGCTCTAGTGCTGATTGTTGAAGGGATCAGGCTCGCCCCAAAGCCACAGGGCTTGGCAGGCCACACGAGTTACTCTACCATGCATGGCAAAGTTTGCCCAGATTGTACAGCTTGTCTGTCAGCTTACACATCTGACAGGAGATCAACCCTCCTACAGGACGTTAGCCCTCCTACTTCTCCCACCTGGAGCCAAATAAAACCCACCTACCAGAGCTTGGGAGATCTCATACAAATAGCACTTCGATCGTTCTAAGTCACAAAAAGCTGGACAGGGAAAGTTGAAAACGCTGAGCTGGGGGTCTAAGTAATTGTCGTAGACTCTGACCAAGGCAATGTCGGCTTTGATAAATTCTCACTGAAGTGTTTGCAGGCCGGAACTGTCTGCCAGTTCTTGCCAGGCGCTCAGACTGTTCATTACTTTGGATCGAGATCAAGGAATTGATTAGGATACCTGGAAATGGTATGGTAGCGTGTGGTCTTTGTGCTTGAAAAGGCTGGTCTCTTGCCTCCTTATACGAGCGGAGATATGTTGTAAACAGTTCAAGACTTTTCGATCATATCATACCTCTGGCTCACAAGTCCGGGAGAAGCTGACTAGGTAAATTCGAACATAACATTGACACACAAAGAAAGGAGACTAGAAGCAGATGTACACGTACTCTAGTATGCTTGCCAGGCCCAGATGGCTCTAGAGCTGCAACAAAGGCTCAGACCATTTGAGGATGACAGAAACACTCACACGCAGAAGTAAGGCCTGAATTGTCATATCTAAAACCTATTGAAGTATGTGTACCAGCATCTCCTGTCCGCGCACCTCTTCCAGGAGACTTCAGAAGCGAGTTCCCAAGGCAAACTCGCGTTGTTAGACCAGCTTGGTGATGCTCATCAAGGTAAACAACAATTACTTCGAAATTTGGGGAGTTTCCAAGGTGCCTTTTGAATGGAAGTAGGGTCACAAAAAGAGCCCAACTAAGACGGACCTTTCTATGTCTCTAATGCCCGGCTCAGCGCTCCAGAGTCAAGAGTAGTAATTCATCGCAGCAGTTAAAACGTCTCAATGTCATGCTTGCGATTCTGCTACCTACGTTGAGCTTAAGCATGTAATCTGTCTTACCTTACTTCATGTCAACACTACCATCTTAAGAAAAATATGTGCAAACTTCTGACGAGAACATCAGATTCAAGCTCAACAAATGGTAGATAGTAACAGAGAGATCGATTAGTTCCATTCTCCCAAGTCAACAAGTCGAGTTTCCAAGAAGATCGAACATAGATAACGATACTAGACATTAGGTACTCTGCATCAGGTACCTACCAATCGACGTGGTGCCTGCGCTGGTCCACAGGTCGATAGTTAAATGATGGAGCACCGGGTGTATGCATCCGCTCGACCCCTCCCCCGCATTTTGAGCTTGAATACCGTCTTAGCCCCGGCATAGCCGTGAACCGATCGGCTATGTGATGACGACACTCTTCATAAGTACATGTAGGCGGTCTCATATCTACATGTCTGTATAGCTGGGGATTGGGGCTAGTTTATGGCAATAACATCTTACCCGGCTACAAACAAATTCGACGTAAATCGCATGTTTCTTCTCAACACGCACCAGAACATAAAATGGCACAAAATCACAACGTAAGTTTCTATGCGAGTAGTTTCTGTTTCTCCTTGCCACACAAGATTAAAATTAAATAGTATCACTGCTTCCCAGGCGCAGAAGATGCGACAGAGAGATTTTGCGACTTCATAGTCCGGACTCAGTTCGAGGATATCCCAGACCAGGCCCTCGCAAAACTCTTCGATCTCGTCATTGATCATATCGGAGTGGGGGCCGGCGGAGGTGCCCATTCGGAGTCGAGTGAGCACATCATCAAGGGCGTCGAGGCTTTCGCCATGGGCTCGATTGGAAAGAGTAAAGTCTACGGCAAAGAAAAGACTTATCCCATACAAATCGCAGCTTTGCTGAACGGAGCGTTTGCGCATTCTTTCGACTACGATGATACGCTCGCTATTGGTATCATTCACACTGGCGCCAGTGTCATTCCCGCTGCCTTAGCGCAGGCCGAGGTGTCAGATGCCCCTGGAACCTTATTGCTCACGGCGTTGTCCGTTGGGTACGAGGTCGCTTCTCGTCTCGGTCGTGCTTTGTCAAATGGTGGATACCCTCGAGGCTTCCACAACACCAGCACGGCTGGTATCTTCGGAGCGGTTGCTGCCATCAGCAAGATCAAGGGCCTGACGTCTGCACAAGTTTACAATGCGTTCGACCTAGCGGGCTCCAAGACCGCTGGTTCGATGCAGTTTCTCGACAATGGATCTTGGAACAAGCGATTACATCCTGGCTTCGCCGCCCACGATGCCTTCCTCTGTGTTGCTCTCGCGGAGGCTGGCGTGACTGGGGCCTCTCACATCGTTGAGGGCAAATGGGGCTTCTTGCAAGCTCATTCTGCAAACGTCAACGCCGTTGGATTGACCGAAAGCCTTGGGATGGAATGGATATACCCAGCGACAGCACTGAAGCCTTTCCCAGCATGTCGGTTTACTCATACCGCCATCGAAATCACAGCAAGACTTGCCGCAAAGTCCGACTCACAGAAGCTGCCGGACAGAATAGTCCTAGGGTTGACTCGAGCTGGATATGGCATCGTTGGTGAGCCCAGTCCTAACAAGAAGCACCCCAAAACCATCGTCGATGCTCAGTTCAGCATTTACTACCAAGTCGCTGTTGCGTGGCTTTTCGGTAGCGACATCGGCTGGGGTGCATACGATACCGACAAGATGGAGAGCAAGCAAGTTGCACAGCTGTGCGATAGGATTGAGGTTCAGATCGACCACACACTCGGGAAAGAATTCGAGGTGCGGATGGCATTTTCAGGCATAGGTGGCGTAGGCGATATCGAAGAAGCGATGGTGT